TCTGAAATACAGCAATCAATGTATTGCAGACTCCTGCAGAATGAATTATACTTGGACAGCTGCTGGCAATAGGCATGGAGTCATTTACTTACTACTGTAATTCCCCAATTCACTACTGGAATGTCTGCAGTCCGCACCACAAGCTGAGTAGGGGGGCACAGACTGGCCTGAACCGCTTTACTGGAGAATCCAGCCACGACACTGAATGGTGCGCGGGGCGATGTCAGCAGAGCAGTAAGGGAGCTGTGTTTACCTGATTTTAATGGGGCTTGGGGGGGGGGGGCAGCATATTGTGAGGACCCTTGCATCTGGACTAGTTTATATCTGAATCTTCCCTCTTTCCTGACCAATTTTACCACCATTTACTTTACTTAAGCGCACAGAAAATGTTTACATGTGTACAGAGAGTATTTTCAGATGTCTGTAGCATTCTGGTTTTAGTATATATTTTTTTTTACTTAAAATGTAAGTACTGTATTCATGATGAGGGACAGGTGTGGGTGGGGGTGGGTGGGGTTGGGGCTACTCTCAGGTGTGAGGAAACAGTAGGAGGCGTTCTTGCTGAGAATGAGCCCAGGGGCTCCCTTGCAAAGCCGTCACGTCCTCTTCCTCCTCTTCCTCACCTCGTGGCAAAGGTTTGAATGGGGCAGCTGTGCCGCTCGAACAGTCACCCCCTCTGATGCCCAGCACTGCCAGGCTTCACACGCTCGGCCGTGAGTGAGCATCGAACCCGTGACCATCTGGGAATGTTAGGCCACAGTGGTAGCTGCCAAGCCGACACATCTAAAAGCAGCCAGACGTACACGCAGACGTGCGCTGGCCACGGAGCTGTCCAGTTAGGGGCAGCAAGATAAAACATCAGACAAGGCACGAAAAAATAATATAAAATCACAGCACTGCTTACATCTCTGCCTGGCTGTTGTCTCGCTCCTGCGCACCCCCTCGTCCCAATCGTGGGGGCGGCCACCTCCTCACCACCCCACCCACTGACATTCTTCAGGCACCTGTACTCACTTAATATTTTGGCAAAAGCAGAAAAAACCATCGGCTGTTCAGTGCCTGTCATGTTTGTTCACTGAAGGAAACAAGTTTGGTTTTAATTAGAGCCCCTGCCAAGAACTGAGGTAATTGCAGCTCCGTTTTCCTTTCTTTCTTTCCTGCTTTATTCTTTTCTCTTTTTTTCCCTTCTTACTTGAGGGCTTAATCATAATGGGGAAGGAATGTATATTAACTTACGTCCATCCCCTCCAGACACACACTCAGCGTTATGAAGTTGTTAATGTATGTTTTGAAAAAAGTGGTCGTTAGCTATACACACAAACTTTTGTGCAATCAGTAATCTAATAAAATAATGTATTATTTGGTCATAAGTGCTTGGGGTTTGACAAAGTGGGACGTTGCTTCTCTTCATTCAATTTGGCAGAATTTTGCCCGTATATAAGGTTGCATAACAACTGTGTGTTTAATCAGATTAGACTCCCTTAAGCCCAGCACTCGGGCCTCAGGTCTGTCAAAAGCTTCACCACGTATTGCTCATGTACCATGGTGTTCTTTCGCTGTATTCTGAGATTGCATCAGAATGCTCTGTCCATGCATAGTTCACTCTTCTTTTGCTGTGCCCAGATTCTAGGCTTTGTCACTTTTTCCACCAGCTGGGTCTCCACAATGCTGCCCCCCCTGCCCCTCCGCCCCGTCTCCACCTGTACCCCAGCTGCAGCCTGCTGTCGCTTGTGAAAATTCCCATCAAATGATTATGTCTAAACGGCAACATCTGCTAGAGAACGTCTGCCCTAAGTCCTTGGGCTCTGCTTTCAGAAGTCATGAGCACTGCAGTTTGTCTTCTGCTAATTAGCCCTTTATTCTTGTGCTGAGAACTCGGAGATGAGGGAAAGGTGTCAAGATGTCTGTGCGGGAAATGCAACCTATCTGAATAATTGTCAAGGCTTCACCTCCTCGCATCTTTTTAAGCACCACATGGCTATTCTTACGAAGAGCTATGTCCATTTTTTTTTCTAAGCCTTGCAAAATGTGGTCCTTTCTGAGCTCTCCTCCATGAAATGCAGTGCAGACTGGAAATAGCAGCTTGGAACGATGATTAAAAGGACCCCCCCCCCCACCCCGGTCTAAAGAGGTGGACTCTTTTAAGTGTGTGACTTTGATTTACGCTTTGCTTCTTTGAACACTTAAGTTGCTGTAATAAAATAGAAGGAAAACAACCTTGTTTACAATAACAATTGTTATAGATTCGTTAAAAATGCCTAATTTTAACCAGCTTCTCCTCACAGTTTTCTTGCTATTTTTACCATTAATATACAGACCTGCGACAGGCTTTTGTCCCATCCTGGGTTGTTCCCTGCCTCGTGCCCGTAGCTTCCGGGATTGGTAAGGAACACACCCCGGATGGGCTGCCAATCCATGGCAGGGGTGCATGCACCCACGCATGCAGTCATACGCTACAGGGAGGGAAGAGATGCCAATTAGTGTAACTGCATGTCTTTGGCCTGTGGGGGAAACTGGAGAATCCAGTGGGAAGCCGCATGACACACGGGAGCCTGCAAACTGTATCGTAACACTGCAGTAAAGTGCTACTGCTTTTAAAACAATCTCTAGGAGACTTGTAGAAAAACTCTTTATTATTGGCTTTGAAGTTGTTGGTTACTTTTGAATTGTTACAGAGCAAATAGCTTGACATACTTAAAGAGTTTGAAAATTTTCACTTGTTTGTGTTCATCTGATGTTATTTTAATTTGTTTATTTAGAATTTTTTTGTGGCATAATTGCCAGTTAAAGAAAATGATGGGAATGAATGAAGTTAAAAAGTGAAACTAAAGCAATAGCGGTAACACGTTTTATGAATGCCATGTCTATAATGTCCATGAACACATCCATAATGCATTATAATGCATTCATAAAGTATTATAAACATGATTATATATATATTTATAAAAGGCATAACACACTATAGTCATGTTTATTATGCAATAAGAATGCATTATGAAGTTCTCATCTATAAGCATCCTTAATTCTTAATCTGACCATTATAATGCATTATGAAGGAATGTATAGTGCATTACAGATGAAAGCTTTATTGGAGCTTACGAAGTATTATAATCAACACTATAATGCCTTATGACTGTCAATGGAAGATGCTGTAATGCTTTATTAATTCTTATACTAACCATTATAAAACATTATGAAGGTATTATACATGACAGCTTTAAGTAAATTGCTACCATAATAGCAATGCTACTCAACTGCCAAAGAGCTTGAAAGCTTGTTCCGTCCCATAGCCTAGACACATGTGACTGTGTGTACATTTGAACATTTGTGTCCTGCGATGGAGCAACAGTCCATCCAGAATGTTCCATGACCCAAGACCTATGTTTACCATTACAGTAAAAACTACATGTTATAGCCATGAAGTCTCGAAGGGTTGAAGACAATTTGGAGTAAGCTTTCCATTTACCGTTAATTTGTATATTTCACTATACATTTAGCTAACAAGGCCTCTATATAGGCATTTATAAAGGTTTAAATTGCTTGTTATGTTTTTAATTAAAAAGTCAGGACTCGACCCATCTATACAGGTGAGTAGGAACCAATATTTAGTTTGGATTCATTCACCCCTTCCCCAATAAATACACCTTTGTGTTTAAACTGCTATAGTCAACGACTGAAATGATTTACTTCATTTTTGATCTAGCAAAAGGAGCACACTTAATGGATTAATGGACTTTATTCTTTTAAATACTAGGTAAACAAGTCCACAGTGATCAATGACTTAAAATGAATGAAACATTTGTATTTGAATCAAATCAAATTAGATCATTAGCTGCAGCCCACTGCGAAGACAGAGCCTGGGCCACGGACAAGCCTAAGCTGACCATAAAGGTCCTTTGACAAGAGTCCCCAGTATTGTGTAGGATCATAGATAAAAAGTGACCAACTTAGGGTTTGCTCCAAAACGACAGGGCTTGAGCTGCCAGGTCTCAGTAGGAAACATACCCTCATGTGCCCAGCATTACAGTAACACACCTGCCTGTGGTATGTAGAGAGAGCAAACACCCTTGATTAGTGTGACTTTTGCATTAGTTGGTTCAGATACACCATGACAGCCGCAATGTGGATTGAAGGTTTCTGTGTTCAATAAAAGCATAACCGTTACATTTGCACAGACTGGGTTTTCCTTATTGATTTTGATGCATTCTTTATGGTCTGCTTGGTCCAGCTAGGCTGCAGTGGCTTCAGGTCATCTCTGTTGCAAGAGCACACTACAACTTGGGGTTCTCCTGGGGAGCTGCGGAACCCTTTTTAAAATCAGCTGATGAATGGTTGATTAGGGTGGAAAGCATTTCTCTGACTTTGTTCCGGAAAGCTTTCATTTTGGTCTTTGCTAATGATGTCCTGCTTGAGTTACATCATCTCAGTGTTTGGTTACTGAAGCTTCAACGAGAAACCCCTCCTTTTGTTGTAAAATATCCATCCACCCAACCATCCATCCGTCCATCCATCCATGTTCCTGCTGCTACATGTGGTCATAGTTTCTGGGGAGGCCTGGAGCCTATCCCAGCCAGCATGGGGTACAGGCGTACACCCCGGATGGGAAGCTATTACAAAATATATTGTTAAGTGCTTTTTGACCAGGTTACATATTCCCCCCCCCTCATCTCCTAATACAAAACTAACCATTCCCATCACAGGTCCACATGCCCCCGACCTCTGTGCCCTTCCTTCACCACTGACAGAGCCCTGGACTCAATCCCCCAAAGAGGATACAGTTCTGACCTGCTTAAGTAATATTTTTCAGAGGCAACTCCCCCTATGAAAATAACAATATTTGAGGATTTATGCTCTGACACTGGAGCAGACCATGAAAATTTAACATGGATTAAATTTGAGAAGCAGCAAAAGAAGGAAAATCCAGGCTCACTATTAATATATCTGTTAATATGAGGTTGAAAATTTTTCTCATATTGCTAAAAAGAAACCGTCCCCCCCCTTTTCACAATGGTCTGCCTGTGTCCAGTTCTTCACCATAGTCTGATTTTTCCCACGTACATCAAGGTAGAGCCTTGACAATGGCTTTTGTCTTCCTGCTGTGCTAAGATCTCCCTCTGGAAAAAGCTCCCAGGGCGTATGGAAGCTGAGAGGTGTGCCCACCACTTTCCTCCAAGACACCATCTTGAAGAAATAATTTTTGCTACTTCTAAAGTAGCCTGGGCATCAGGAAGGTTTCTGGGACCTCTTTCAGGTCTTCTTCAGCCAAAAACGACATGACTCCAAAGTGAGAATGTAGGCTTCGGAATTCTGGAATCTAGAACTGGTGAAGGCTGTTAGGAAGGTGTATAGGCTGGTCCACTCCATGAAAGAGATCAGCTGGTCCTGAAAAATGGGTGAAAAAAAATCATCAATCCAATACAAGACCCTATCAAAATAAGAACAATATGAAATTAATATGAATGTAAAACCTGTTGTTTATTATTGTTTTTGACCAAATCAAACCAGCAGTGTCCCAAGCATGCCCTTTATGTATTTTTCTTATTATACCGAACAATAAGCTATACTGCAAATGTTTCACTCTGTTACCAGTTTACTGGCAAAGTATGAAGGTTTCAGAGCTCATGCCAGTAACCTTCAGAGTTAGGTAGGATTCAATTTCTTTGTTTTGAAGAAAGAGGTATTTTGTAAATATTGCTTGTATTGAGTAATAAGCATATAAATCCCACAGTTTATCTTTGGTGTGAGCTGTCAGTCCAAAATGCAAAGTGTTTCAGATGTTCAGTTTTATTTTACCATTCCATAGCTAGCTTTGTGGATTTAAAAGCTACTGTTTTCTTCTGTGGAGTAAGCTAAGGAAACGTGTTAGCTAGCTTTGTTAAATTGTCAAATACTGCTAAATCAAACTGTCAAACACCACTATTGTCAAATATCCCTAGATCAGCTGCAGCACTAAACACGAAAGCAGACTGATGTGCTTTCGCATAAATATGGATTAAGTGGAATCAAGGAGGTTCTCTGGGACACCAGTGATTTTCTGAATAAATTCAACTAATCAACTAAGTTTTCTGTGATGCATGCTTATGTGAAAGGATTTAACTTCCCTTTCTGGTAATCTCACATAATAACTTTACTTAAAGGTGACAAAACAAACAGCCCCCAACTGTAACTTTTATACATACACGGGATTATGTCTCATTTCTATGGTCTGGGTGTCTAGAGCAGAATATTCTGCCGGTATTGTGTAATGGTACAGAAAAGCAGCATTTCTTTCTTTGGCTTAAAGAGTCCATCAGCATCTTATGTTTCTGGAATTTTCATGTATTGTTTTGATTAAACACAATATCCTGGACAGGAAAGTAGGGGACCCTGGAGTTTTCGCAAAGCAGCACAGCAAAAAACGAAGGGGTCCACCCTGGACAGCATGCCAGTGCATTGCAGGGTACACACACACACACACACACACACACACACACACACACACACACACACAGAGTCCATGTATTCCTATGTTTGTGGGGACTCTCCATTTATTTCTATGGGAAAAACCCTAATACACCAATGACGACCTTAATCCCTACCCAGCCCTAACCTTAAGCATGAGTAACCAAAAAAAAAGAGACTTTTGGCTTTTTAGATTTTTGATTGCATTTACATATTTTTTATAAAATTGAGGTTATCCAGTGAAAAGAGAGGTCCCCACAATGTAATGTATAACTGAGACACACACACACTCACTGTGAACAATTTCATGACTATGTCTTTGGAATGCAGGAGTAAACCAGATTACATGTAGGAAACCGGCATGACATGTGGAAAACATGCAAGCTCCACATGCAGTGCACAGTGGTGGCTTGACCTCAAACCTGGAGGTGTGAGGCAATAGTGCTGCCCTCTGAGCCACATAAAAAACACCTAGTAATGCTTCACATTAACTGTACCTTCATAATACCTTTATAACGCATTCATAGAACATTCAGTGCACTTTTATGTATTCATAGAACATTCATAAGCAGTAAGTATACCTTAACATCCTAACATACCTTAAGAGCTTTAATATATGTTAATAAAAAACATTATATCATAATAACAAACATTTATAATGTATCATGTATAATGATTGTTATTAATATTTATTAAAGCTGTTAAGATATATTAGGATGTTAAGGCATACTTCCATGCTGCTTATGAATGATCTATGAATGCATTATGACGGTGCACTGAATGTTCTATGAATGCATAATGAATGCACTATGAATGCATTATAAAGGCATTATGAAGTTGCGATTAATGTAAACCCAACTTTTAAAAAAAAAAAACATTTCAATTTTTAATGCTTAAAGAATATCAGTTAGAAAAATAAATTGCATACTATGAAGTGTTGACTGAGTACATTATTAAAGAAGATATTAAATGGGGGGTTATGATATACTGTATTTTTATTCCAGACATCAGTCGTATCATTAAAGAAAACCTGCCTGTGGTGCTAGCAGGGCTATGGTCTGGCGTGCTGGGGGCGGCTTCTGACAGTGACGCAGGTTGTTTATCGGCCAGTGGGCTTAGGAAAGGTGTCAGGATGCCTGCACATCACTGGACACAGGCTGCCATGCCTGCGATCCGCACAGCCAGGCACACAGGGTAGGTGGTCGTGCCTTGTTTACCTCCAGGCCGCCAGCCTTATTTAAACAAGCCGGTGCCTTTATAAGCTTCTTTCAGTCTGAGCGCGTCACTCGACTGTCTGGCGGTAACATTCCCCTTTTCCCGGAGCACTGCTGTCTGTTTATGTGCTGTTGTACCTTCTGAGGATTGCTGCACCTCTGTCTGAACCTCTTAATAATGCCCAATACCACCAACATCAGCTTTAATAGTAACGCCTTTCTTGTAGTTGGTTTTACCTCAAACTTAGAAATTCCAGAATGAAATTATTCTATATTATTCTATTTGTTGTTAAGTGTTTTTATTGTTGGTTTATTGTAAAGCAGTATTTTATTTTGAATTTAACATTTAAAGAAAAACACAAAGGTAAAATTTGATGTATAAAAACCATAGGATTTGACTGTAATACAATACAATGAAACATGATTTTTATAGTTCATATAAGAATGTGTAATGTTTCAATAATGTATGAGTTTCCTTTATTTCAGCATGCAGCTATATGATTATCTTAGCATTGTTTTAGCGGTCACCGTCATACAGATCCCCTTCCCCCCCATCAGCCAATCAGGCTGCCAGTTTCCTCCTGTAAGTTCCTTCAGTAACTGGAAAGGACTGAGCCGGATTTGCGGAAAAGTTGTCAGAGAGACAGTGTGACCCGCGTGGCCCTCTGCAGGGGTATCTGAGCAGTCGCTGACCTTGGGGACCTCGCATCTGTGCGGAGACTCCGGAACTGTTGGGGTGTCACATAGCATCGTGCCCCCTCCTTCCACAGTGGCTGCCTATCTCTATGCTTTTCACTGTCACATTTTGCACATAGGAGCAACTAGTGAACGACAAGTGCTGATCTCAGCTCATGTCATGAATTTTTGATCAACAGCAAAGCCATTGACGGGTCCTTTTCCAACACAGACCCCCTGACAAATGTCCCCACCCCTTATTTGCTTCCTCCACTCCCGTCACAGTCTAAAGCCCAGGCAACTCGAAATGTCAATGATGTTAGTTTAGCCATTGTACATGGCTGGCGGCATCTGAATGGGCCGCTTGTCTGTGGCCCCCCTCCCACAAAGGCTGTCTTTCTCACAGTAACTTGTTCTCAGCATTTCCCGCTTCATAAAGGGAATTCTCTCAGCTCTCGCTCGCTCCTGAATAAGCCAGAAGGAGAAATATGGAGGGAGAATGAGAGAAAGATTGAGTCCGTGTGTGTGTGAGAGACGGAGATAGAGTGACAGCGAGGAAGAAGGGATTGGGGACAGAGGAACTGAACCATGACGGAATTGTTTGTGGTATTATGGACGGAATTACATTGGCACATTTTGCCCGCAATTACAAGTAGGGCACGCTAGCCGTAAATCAGGCTTTCACAGTGCAACTAAGCTTGTTAGTGTGCTTAATTGGACAGGAATAGAGTGTGACCTGAAAGTTAAAGTTTAAGTGCTAAGGAAAATGCAGGCCTTGGGTAAGGGCAGGAGACTTTGAAAAAGTAGGCCAGGCTCTTTGTGTACGTAGGGCAGAATGTGAAGGAACGGTTCCGAAAGGGCAGAACGATGAATGATTGGCCGGCTTTTACACCCGTCATGAATAGACAGGGTAGGGTGGCGGCCACAAGACGGACGAGCGACATCAGCGTTTCTTTCCATATTTACAGCCAGCGGGAAAATAGGGTCATTAAGAGCGGGTCTGCATTTCCTATGTATGAGAGGCTGATTTAACACGTCATAAAAGAGCCAACATGATGTAATATTTTCTTGAGTGGGTGAGAAAATGTTTGAGTTGTAAAGTTTTTTTTCTTCCCCCACACACAGAACAGAGAGATTACATGGCTTGTTGTATGTAAGAGTCTGTATCCCGCAGATAATATAGTGAAATCCTTAATACATGAAGCAAAAAGTTGTGTTTTTTTATATATACCAATCAATATAAAAACGCTTTAAAATGTATTCACATGGCTTATTTGTTTTACATTTTATTGTGTTGCAACATTGTGTGGAATCACATTCATTTTCAGATTTGATTATAACAACAATAGTGAATCTTTTAAAAAAAATAACTGATTGCATAAATTCGTAACATTTGTCTTGCTCTCATATTTGGTAGACAGTCATGTCTTGTAGGATAAGTGCTGGGAAAACTTTGCAAGATTCCTCATGCTTCTTTAGGCACCCATATGGAAAAGTTTTTTAACAATGACATATGACTCTTACGTATTTTATCCAAATCATATGAGTTCTCTATATGACACTCAAAATAATTATACAGTCCATATGTCTCCTTTATGGATGTTTTTTGTGATGTGTAAGGGACAAGGCTTGAATGGTTTAAAATGAATTCACATCACTTGGCTTATTTGTTTTACAGTTTGGATACACATGTTTCAAAGTTAATCTATCCAGCCTAACCAAAGCTGACAATTTCTTCTCAGTCTACACCAGGGTTCCCTAATTCCGGTCCTGAAGGGCCAATCTGTGTCACAGTTTGCAGATTTCTCAGCTCAAACATACCTTATTCAGCTCATTGGCTCATTACCAAGTTTAGTAGGTGTGTTTGAGCAGGGAAATCTGCAAACTGTGACACTGGACTGGAATTGGGGAACCAATCAGGGCTCACACAAAAGAAAGCAGTTTGATCCACATACTTTTTTCAGCCTATTTTTGCAGCTCAGTCTTCTCATCCTCTTCCATCTTCTGCTGCGATGTTGGTCTCTATACTGTGCAACACTCTTGATACTCTCGTCTTTCTAAAGAGTCATACACTCCTATTATCCTCCTCACACATCTGTGCTAGCTACTAAAATCACCTATTTCACCAGCGTCTATAACAGCATGAGCATAAATGCTTGCAGTCCTCTGCTGCTAATGAACTCCTGCATCAACTCCCCTGCCTCTGTTGATCTCTGCAGTACCTTTCTTTGATTTCTTTGAAGTAAAACAGGTCTCTGGCTGTTATCCTCTCCAATTATCCCTCCAACTGCAATGCCACTCCCCCTGGCGTCTCTATGGCTGTATTGGGGGGGGGGGACAATAGATGTAATTACTTGAAATGGTGTGTTCTCACTCATTTTTAGTTCCCCTTTTCATAAATCTCTAGCGACGTTCCTGCTAACACCTGTCTCAAAGCCCAGCCCCATCCCCCAGATTGCTGCCCTCTCTTCACACTCCTGAAGTCCTCTCAGCTCTCCAATATAATCCGCACTTCTCAAAGCACCACTTACTCCCTCCATCCCCCTCCCCTGCTCTTACCTGACTGCCATCATCAATCAATCACTCTTGCAATGGTTCCATCTGTCTACAACATGCTGCTATTATGTCCATGTAATCAGAACCTGCTCTTGACCACATTAAGCTTAATAGCTTCCGTCCATTCTACAGCACTCCTTTTTCCTCTAAAACACTCAGTTGTCCTTTGGCTAGTCAATTTCTAGCACAGTATCCTGCTCTACCAACTTCAGTCAAGCTATCAACTTCTCCACAGCACTGAAATTGCCTTAACTAAAGTCCTCAATGATCTTCTAATATCTCCTGAGCCCTCAACATCCTCATTCTCCTTGACCTGAGCACAGCCTTTGACAGTGTCCCTCCTCACATGAGCATTGAAGACACAGACATGGACTTGCTAATCTCCTACCTGACAGACAAGAAACAGTTCATCTCTGTTTCGGGTTACACTTCTGTCAGCTCTGGCGTCACCCACGAGATCCCTCAAGATTCAGTTCTCGGTCCTCTGCTCTTCATTTTATACATCCTCCCTCCTCGGCAACATTGTTAGACAGGTTCAATGTTCTCTGTTATGCTGATGATACCCAGATCTATGGCAGCACTAGATCTGCTCATTCTCTACCTCTGTCCCACATCAAAGCCTGTCTTTCTTAAATCAAGACCTGGATAACCCACAGCTTTCATAAGCCCAACACCAACAGTATGCTGGTTCCATTTCTCTCCACACCAACAGCACAGCAATCTCTTACTCACCTATGGTACGTAACCCTGGAGTCAGTCTCTTTCACTGAATGTCCATGTCTTCTCTTATTGTGAAAATCTCATTTGTCCATCTACACAGCAAAGACTGACCCAGACCTCACTGCCCTCTGCTAAGTCTCTCATCCATGCCTTCATCTCCAGCCGCCTTGGCTACTGCAATTCTGTCCTCTTATGCATCAGCTCAAGGTTCCCCACAAGCTACACCTGGTCCTGAAACTTTCAGCCCGTCTCCCCACGCATCCCTGGTGCATCATCACATGTTTCCTGTTTTCCACGACCTCCCTTGTGCCCTATAAAACTTTGGATTCACTTCAAGATTCATGTCTTCATATTCAAGGCTCTCCCCAGTCGTGCTGCCTCCAGTGTGTCTGATCTTCTTTTGTCCTATCAGCCCTCTTGTGCTCTATGATCTTCCTCTTTTGCACTTCTCACTTTTCCTTTGGCTAAACCCCACAGCTCTGGGGACTGAGTCTTCACCCTTTCCCGTCATTGTAATTCCCTTACCCCCTGGAAATTCATAATTCCCAGTCACCCCTAATATCCCCAAAACTCATCTTCACCTACTTGCATAACCCAATTGTTTGTACAAACTACTGAAAAAAATGACTCATTTTTAACAGCCTTCGACTAGCCTCAATCCCATGATGGTTAGGGAGCTCCATTCACAGCCCATTCAACCACATGGCCGACTGGGGAGCAAGGGAACACACTGGGGACTATGAAAGATACTAAACACAGAAAAGAACGGGATGGGGAGCAACACCTGCTGGCCAAACAAGGAAATGACAGACATAGCAGGGACTGATTCTGACATTGATAATCACATTTTATACACATGTAGTGAACTACAACTTACATACTTGCATACAAGCCTTCATATTTGCTTGTGTTTATTACTGCCTAGCTGTGCTCTGTGGTTTTGTCTCTTGTATCTTTCGGTTCTTGAAAATTGTAATATTAATATAATAATAATGAGAAGCATAACAAGAATAATAATAATAACAACAATAATATAATAATGATTATTATTATTAATATTAATAATAATAATATTGTTGGTGGTAGTGGTATTATGTGAAATGAATATGTAAGCCTGCCTTAAATCAGAAGGGATACAATGTAGTGCTTTTATTGTGGCATCAAAGGCTGCCAGGATGCGTCTTCCATATTCAGGACTTAACCTGCTCAGACATGCTGTGCTCTCTTAATCCCCCGCCCACATTCCCTTCTTTCAGAGCTGGTGGTCAAAGGTCAGAGGTCACGAAGTGTAACGCACACTGAGGACTGATGGCGCAACCCCCCCGCTGCCCAAGTAGAGATCAGTGTGGATGGGTGTGTTCACATGTGATGCCCATGATCCACTCATGTCCTACAGACCTGAGAAAGCTGCACATCTCAGTGAGGAGGCTTAGATGGTGCTTCACTCTCCGGCTTCCTTCTCTTGGAGGTTTGAGTCGAAGGTATGATTTTCTCATTCCTTCACAAGGACAACAGAGAAACATGATAAACTCATCTGGCAAAAACTGAACTCTTTCCAAGAAGTTTGTGAATGAAATCAAAGCTGTATTTTATAGTTTAACAAACAAATAAACAATATAAATAAACCCTTACTCAATGTAATCAAAATGCTTTTTCTAATTTAGAGAAGGGATTTTAACACACATTTTTGTACCTGACAGCCTCTGTGTGGTAGCTGGGTTGTAATTAACTTGTATCCTGTTACGGCATTTATTTCAGTCAGTAACCCCAGCCTCCTAACATGTAGCTGCATCATCTGGTGAGGTGGGTCGGACAGCAGACATGAAGGCTCTTTTAAGACTGGCTTCAGTATTAAACATGAGGTACTGAATTAAATTATGTCAGGTGAAGATATCATTGTCATATACTGAACTGGACGTATGCAGAATTATCCGTGTCTTAATATACGTTCAGTGTTTAGCAAGATGGTGGATTTTGGGTGTAGCAGCTGATAGAACATCGCAGAACAGTGTATTAATCCTGCCTTTGCACAACAGCAGTGAGGTTTATGACCTTTTACTGGTTCTCCGTAAAAGTGCCTTTCAGCTTATTGCATCATTAGTCTTTCTACTTTGCATCTATAACATGCAAACGGGCGAACAAAGTGCAGGGCACAGCGCTGGCATGGCGTCAGATATTTGTCCTCACTGCCCCGTCTCCGTTCCCTGTGGAATGTGATCCCCGGCTCATGCTGCCTCTTCCACCACTTCCTCTCCCCCACAATTCTATCTCCTGATGACAGTTAAAATTTCTCTGCCTTTGCAGGAGGGGCGTGAGGTTTAGTGCCCGCTGTCCTCCTGGAATTCCCGGTTGGGTTCCAAAGAATGTCAGTAAAGAATACGAACAAGGATTCCTTCTTAAGCAATCTCCAGATACAAAATACATGTTAATCTGACCATCCCCCACTCGTATCTTTTTCTCCTGGCCTCGGTTCTTCGCATTTCTTTCCTTTTCCCCGCTATTGCCCCCTTTTCTGACCTCGCAATCTGGAAAAAATGCCCCAAAGCTCTGTTGTCATTATCGTGCCATTCCCCGCGTCCTGTCAGCTTTACTCCAAACCTATTTCACCTTTGAACCCGTAGCACCTTGTGATGCATGCTGGGTAAGTTGCTTTCCTCATTGTCATCTGGATAGAGATATATTAGCGACAGCAGAAATTTCAGAAACAAAAGGCTTAATGATAGGGAAAATATCGGCCAACTTACGTCAGTGGATCTGTGTGTGTGTGAGTATTTGTGTGTTTAAGACTTATTGTTTTAGTTTAGCGTGCATTGTCATATTATCCAACAGTTGCCATGGAGACATTGTTTTGGGAACAACATTGTAATAGGCACATATATTCATTTGTGAAAAGGAAAAAAGGTGGAACGAATTTAAATAGAAAACTTATGACAAAGAAACCTCTTAGTACAATGTAATGTTCCAGAAATTCTGTACTATGTATTGTGTCCATTTCAGATGCAACATTTTATTAGCTTTCTCACATTTTATTCCTTTAAACAAGCCTTCAGCCGAGTCTCAGAAGAAGACATTTCATCGGCGATATGTATGACTCCTGCATGCACAATCCACAATCCACAAGTCCAAAACAAATGTTTAGAACAAATACAAGAATCCATGATTGTTGCATTTTATGCACATCTGTAATGAGCTTGCTGAAAAGACAAATGAGATTGTGGGGCCAATGTCTTGCTGGACTCGCAAGACCTAGAATATTATTCACAGATCCTTCAAAAAGAATATATCTGCATTGCCACAGTTCATTTTTCAACTTCAGTTTCAACCTGGTTCACCTTTAATGAGAAATGACAGTAATGGCTCCAAACCTTGAAAGGCTGCCATACAGGAATGAGTTAGACATTGTAGTTCCCTGAAGCACTGAAAGGAAACCCAAGTGTGTCAGGTAGCATAATCCATATGTATATAATTTGGGTGAGCACAGATACGGTTAAACCTGGGAACTAATAGCCTAGAGCAGCAGGCACATATTATTACATGCGTTCAAATCAGCAATATATTAGCATTTTTGCCAAAAACGATGAGGGTTAACAGCCTCCTTTTGTTTGTAATGTTTACTATATTCTTATTCAAGCTTTAACAGTTAGTTAAGCACAACTTAATAATGCCGGTAGAATATTTGAAATTGCTGCTTGTTATGTGGATTAAAGTATTGTTTGTAAAGTATTGTTTGTAAAGTATTGTAATAGTGGTAATAGTAATGAAAAAAATAATCTGCTAAGCAAATGCTTAATGAAGTTTCCTCCTGTGGGAAAGGTTGCTATAGGGACAGCGTATTTTTTGATGTTAAGTGTTTTTCCTGTGTCTGTGCGACTGACCCAAAAGTCGTCCCTCGGCAAACATGAAGCAGGGCCTCTGCCAGACCTCTCACTTCATATTTCATCCCCCCCCTCTGCCGACTTTGGAATGCCATCGTTTTCCCCCAGGGGGACGGCCCTCCCCTCTTTTTTGGCAGTCCACTCTTCCTGGCACCTGATAGCCTTGGTGTCACCGCACTGTGACAGCAGCCGGAGTGGCCGGGGTTTGGCGGCACGGGGTGAGAGAGACATACGTGTGGAAAGCCTGAGTGGGGGAAAAGGAGAGAGAGAAGAAGGGGCAGAGAGAAAGAGGACAGAAGATAAAGCGCGGGATGGAGATGGGCTAGGGGAGAGGCTACAAAGGGTAAAGAGAGATGAGAGGGGGATGAGTAAAAGCAGGAAGGGAGGAGAGAAGAGGACAGGGGGACAATGACAGATGTGGAGGTGGGGCTGGTGTTTCAGGAGCCAGGCGCTGAATTCAGATCAGTGTTTCTTTGGAAACAGACGGACTTGGTATCAGATGCAGAAATGGCAGTGAGAGGTCGATCATCTTGTCATTGTTTCATTAGCCAGTCTGCACTCTTAGACTCCTGGAAAATCATCATCTTTTGACACCAAGATGTCCGTTACAGCCGGCTGCTGTCTGTCTCTTCACTTACTTCAGCATCTTAGATACAGTATATCTCCTTCCAATAAACTGATACTAAATGGCATTAGAACTTAGCAAATGTTCTCGTATCTAGAGCGATTAAGCATGTTCACAACAAATATAATCAACATTTACATAAACCAGGGAATTGAGGTGTATTGTCATGTATTTGTGTGTGTGTGTGTGTGTGTGTGTGTGTGTGTGTGGGGGGGGGGGGGGGGGGGTTTGCCTAGATTACATTTGGGGACCGAAATGTCCCCAAAGTGTGATAAAACCTGAAACTTCCTTACATTTTTCAGGTCCCCATTTGCATAACCTACATTTTATAAAAATCTGTCAATAACATCAAAAAAGTTAAAATGCCAAAAAACTTCACAGTTTTTGCTGCGATTGCTTTGCATTTTTGTAAAGTTTAAAACATATACTACAAACACCCAACAATGCCTTTCCTGCTTAAGACCATTCACATAATAATTCAAGTATCACTTTCCTCAAAATATATTAAGACCAAATATGTTTGCACACCAAATGACTGGTTGTGTAGAGTATATTGTTTTGATGGCTCTAGTTGTTCAGTCTCTCGTTGTCTTTCACCTGTATTGGAATAACTTAACCACTATTTCAATTTGCATTATACTTTGCGACGTATATCGTTAATGCTTAGCAAATATTGCTTATAAAAAACAAAAAATATGTTCATTAATATGCAACCACTGGCATTCTGTGCTAAAGCTGGAGAGTTTGTTTCTGATAATCTGCCTCTAATCAGTGCAGCTTTCTCTTGGCACGTTCTCAAAAACCAGTGAGACGGAGATCAAAGTCCACTGGCACCTCGACAGAAAGGAGAAGCCAAGTGTGTCATTATCGAGAGTCTTTCCGCCACTTTCCTTTGTTTTCGTGCCAGAAACACGAGGCATACAGAAAGGGAAAAGGACAAATTTGCTTAATTGAAATTTTAATTAATAAATTACGTAAACTTGAAAAATATTCTGAATTTCACATAGGACATTTTGCAATTTTTGTTCTCTCTCTCAGTCCTTTCCATTGCTGTCTGTTTCTCCAATGCTTTCTTTCATTTTCTCACTCTCTCTCCCACCATGAAGACAGCTTTCAATTTCCTGCACAGCATTCTTCAAAGGGAGAGAGATTAGGGAGGCAGAGGATACCGGCGACACAGTGACAGCTGCAGGCCGCAGACACTCAGTTACGGTCTCACAGGCCAGACACGCCGTGAGCAGATCGGGGGGTTAGAACGTCCCCCTGCCATATTTTCAGTGAGAGCCATGCGAGAAAATGTAAAACTCTCCCACTGCACCCAGTCGCTCTCCTGTGGACATACAGTAGGCACAAGTGAGTGCAGCAATTCCTCTTTGCGGCCTATTACTTATATACTTGTCTTACATACAACACACATGTGCCGTAATCATATTTACAATAATACAGATATATCCATTAATAAACCTAGAATAAAAATATGAATAATTTATAAATCTGAATTACGATCACGCAATGTTCCGCGCACCTGTGTCCGCAATGCGCAGGCTACAGGTGCAGGCAGAATTTTGCTGCGTAGCAATTTAGAAGATTTACTGGTGCGCAGAGAAAAATGTGCTGCAAGAAACACAGTGAGGCTGTTATTCATGTACGTCTGTGTCTATAGGCGAGGAGCCAAAACACAGCACAAGACATTCAGACGCTCGCAAGCACAATGTAACTGAGCTGTATGTACTGAGAACACTGTTCAGCTGGCAGACGACAACGTAACCTAGAAAATTCAGTGGAGATCCAGCGCTGTGTGCTTGGGGCCCTAAAAATCAGCTTTATTCCCAGGTGCTGATGAGGTAAGAAGGGAAGAAAAATAACGGGATCCCATTTACATGTGTTGACTTTGGAAGTCTGGCTTTCCTTTAGAGGGACAGACCTTCTGCTTATGCTGAGCTGGTTTAAAACCAGGTTCTGCATTAAATGGCCTCTCATAACTGGGAAGGGAACCAATACATATAATCTATAAGAAAAATCCATCCATGAAAACACATCCTATTAACAATGCTTACCTGAAAGAGTTCATCGTCTTTGGTTGACCAAAGACTACTGTTCACTTGACAACCATCTGCTATCTGCTTTCAATTCTAAATAAAATGTCCACCCAATCCATCAGCAGAACGTTGTTATTACAGGGATATAACTATATACATTTTTTGCTGCAGTTGCCAGGTGAATGAACAGTGAAGCCGGTTTGTTGTTCAGCATGGACTTTAGTGACTGCGATATGTTTATAGGTTGAAATACGCGATTTTATAGCCGGTGGATGATGTCATCATTTTATGATCTCCTAAGAAAGTGAGCTTCTTTTGCTGTATAAATGAACTCAAAGTAATGAACCATAATGTAGCACAATAGGCCAGTTTGTTAGTCACCAAAAATAACATAAAAATGTTTTAGACTGAAGATAGACATTTTTACATAAAAGACTTATTAGAGGACTAATATGCAGGCATAGACATTTATTTCAAGAAAATAGACAAAAAGAAAGTTGGCATGATGAATAAATAGAAAATGAGAGAAAATCGAATAGGAGAAAAGTCTTTGTTAATCTTGATACATCTGCCTTCCATTAAATCTTGGGGGCCACTAAAATAATGTTTTTCACTCCAGAAGCCTTTCTGTGTTATAAATGACCTCCCAGACGCCCCCCTACCCCCCCCCCCATCCTGGGGGTCTTTTGGTGCCATAGTTTCAGTTTCTCTCAGGTATGTCTCCTCCTGTCTTCCCATCCCTTCCTCTCACCTACTCTCTCTCACTCGTCTCTATCCTCTTTCCACCCCCCACTCGTCTCTTTGCTTTCTTTCATGGATTCCCCGTACAGAGACGGCTCCAGCACCATTTAACGCTGATTGAACCTGAACCCCTGTCACATTATGGACCGGGCACGGGCAGATTTCTGATTGATGACTGCGGAGGGTTCAAAGGTCAGCCTCATTGCAGGAAGAGAGCAGATATGGGGCAGGTGGGCCACAGCCCATTTGCAGGGTCCCTCACTGGGGGTATGGGCGGGGGGGGGGGGTCATTACCTCTTTACGACAATTAGA